GCTCTCTGTGTGGGGCCATGCAACAGCCCCACGTGGTTAACAAGACACAGCGTTGGATCAGGCTTGTTCCCTGCAGAGCAAGGGAGTAATGTACTCAACACCTGACAAAGTAGAAGGCACCCTCGGAAAGCGTGTGCTCGGGTGTGAAGCTCCTAAGACGTTCTCCCCACCTAAATCAGCCGCTCCCAGACCAGGCTTTTCTGCACCGGCTGGAAGGGGGCTGGCTTCACCCCGCTGGGTCGGTGCGAGCACCCGAACTGCGCCTCGCCTTCGCTCTGGAGCCGCCCAGCTCGTCCTGGGCTCTTGGCCTGAAAAAAAAACTGCCTGCACCTGCGGCCTTTGCTGCCGTGCCAGCGGAGAGGGGCACTCGGCGCGGGCACTGCTGGAACTGCGCTGTCTGTCGTGTTCATGAGGTATGAGGTAACGTTTACATTCCTTAATCGCTCCCACTGCAATGGATGTACCGGCTGAGGGCTCAGCCTTGAAATGACACTTTTAAGAAATGTTCTGCTTCACCAGGAGGACGGTGGAACAGATAGCACCTTGTTCAATCAGTCAAAGGTTTGGGTGCTTTTCTTTTTGCTTGTTTGTTTGTTTGGTTTTTTTTTAAATTTTCTTGCTAGTTTTCTAATCTGGAGCTCCAGCGATTAGCTTTTGTCCAGGTAAATTTGAAAGACCCTATTTATAAATTAATACTTATGTATAGCTTTAATCTGGGGACAATATTTAATCTGGGGAAAATAAAGTCAGTTTTTCTCCTGATGGTTTAATGCTCTCAGGCAAACAGCTTAACGGCTAATTGAGACCATCATAAAAGTTACTAGTGACAAAACGCAAAAATATAAGCATGCAGCCCTTTATTTTTGTAAAGATCTTTGCTTATCATAGTTCTGTATATTACATTATGGTGTTATACAAATAATTTTATTTACAAAACCATGAGCTATGCAAGCTTCTTGCTTTTTTTCCTATTTGACCGATATCCATCTTTTTCAACCCTTCCCCATATATATTTTGAAAGCATGCATAAAAATTAACTTTGGTGTGGTAAAACTACTCTATGTGCCCAGCCACATACAGTATTTATTTATTTATATATATTTATAGATATGTACAAAAGTTTGCCAGTATACAGAACAGTACAGAAGTGTACATTTTAAAATCCACAATGCGATCAATTAATGGGTTACCAGGTCTCAGTAAAATAAAATTGAAGGAAAAGGGTGGATTTAGCTAAAAAAAAAAAAAAAGAAATCAGCAACTACCTAAATGTGTAAAACTATTTTTTTTTTCTCAGCTTGGCAAATTCTTAAATATAATCTGAATGGCAGTGCAATAGGTTGAGTTGCCTCATACACACTAAGACCAGTCTTGTTCTGTTTCTTGTGTAGAGGTTTACTGTCCAGCATACTACTTTCAAATGTACATTACAATAGTATCAAAATGTTTTGGCAAAAAGATCTCGAAAGGAACCATGACATCTGTTGACAAAAATAGAAATCTGTAACAAAGCTAAATAACACCAAAATAAAAGAAAAATATTTTAGTTTCAGTTTTACAGTTGTGTATAATCACACTTTAGTATATCTCTGTTCACTTCTAGTCCCCATAATGAAAAATAGCTTTATACAAAACAACTTACTAAATTTTTAACCATACATTTTCCCATGCTCAGGACACCGCTGCACACACGCACTCAAGTTCACTCACACACCTTCACACCTTTTTGTAAGAGGTGCTGCCTATAGGAAAGAAACGCTCTTCTATCATTACAACAGCAACAGAGTTTTACAAAAAAGCTTCACTCTAATCTGGTGTAGTAATTCGGTATTTAGCATGTGATTAGTATTAAGCCTCCAGCAATACAGCAAAATGTTTACGTTCCCTGGTTAAGACAGCGGCTGCAGATTCTTTGAAAATGAACAAAAAGCCTTGGTGAACTTGCCCGCGTGCTGTGCTTAGCCTTTAGGATGGCTCCTTGGCCGTGGATGGGGTGGACTTGCCGGCATTTCCATTCTGTGCCTTGTAGCTGGTGAAGCTAGGTGTGTGGATTGTCCTGATGCTCTTCATACCTTGGTTCAGTGAGGTGGGGGAGGTAGAGGAGGGGGGGGAGGTAGAGGAGGAGGAAGGAGGGGGTGGCCGGCCGTTTTGAGTCTGTAGTGAGAAGGAGAGATGGTGACCTTTCCCTGGGTAAGTGGGGCTCTGAAACTTGGAGGAGCCATTAGAGACGGAGGGGATGAGGGAGGTAGAGTAAGTTATGCGACCTGTCTGAGGACCGAGAAGGTTAGAGGAAGGAATGGAGGTTTTAGTAGGTGGATTAAGAGGGTTAGAGCTGTCACCGCTAGAAGCAGGTGCTGAGCTGCTTTTCCCAGAAGTGGGAGAAAAGGCTGGGATCTTAGAAGCAGGTAGGGTAGGGGAAGTAGCCTTATAGTCCCCACCAGCTTTCTTAGCACTTCCATTAGCCTGCAAATAAAGACGGCAGGAGACAGTTTGTCAGAAAGCCAGTAACATGATAAACCAACAGGACCTGGGAAAATAGCCCTACAGAGAATAAGAATTAACAGTTTGAGGCCTAAGCTAGGTCTTGCAGCTGTGGACTGGACCTGGTAGAACACCCAAAGTGCCCAACGAAGAATGCATAGAAAGAGAGCGAGCGAGCCAACAAAGCTTTTGTGAGAAGGTGCAGTCTATGGGTTACAGACCAGTCGCTACATCGGCCATGCTTCTGGGTTATTAACGTGTGAACAGACATGTCCGGCCGGAGAGTTAATGTGCATCTACTGCCATCTATTACACAGACAGGTTAGTGTCCAAGGCTTCCTGTAAAGACTCTGAACAGAAGCATTCCCAGCTCTCCTAAGGAACCGCCACATTTACCAAAGAGAAAGTAGTTGACATCTTAAAATTACAGCTGAATACTGCAGTTTAAAAAAAACAAAACAAACATGACCAACCAACCAACAAACCCCCAAAAAACAAACAAACAAAAAAAAAAGCAGCAGGTGTTTTATTGCAGACATGCATGCACAAGCATGGTGAAAAGATCAGTAGATACTGTCATGCCCCCAGGATCCAGGACGTCCAGTTAGACCTCACTTGAAAGTCAGGCATCCATTATTTGGTACAATCTCAGTCAGTTACTGGAGTTTTTAAATAAACAAACAACACGAAATGTCCATCCAAACACCGGGTTTAGGGTAAAACTACCTGTCTGTATTGGCGTGGATCCTGCAGCCTGTGCTGTTTGCCTGCTTTCTCCATGCTTCCTTGTCTAGCTTTTGAAGCCATGGGGACTGGCATCCGGCTTGTCTGGGAGGCAGTGCTGGAGCCCTGCGGAAATGAGCGGAGGGGCAGGGAGGGGAGACAAGGAGGAGGCGTGATCAGCACCCGTGTGCTTGGAGAGGAGACTGCACACCATGCGCCAAAAAAAAAAGCCACAGTACTACATGCAGGGAAAGTTCAGGAGCTTCACACCGCAGGTGTTAATTTCCAGAATCAAATGGAGAAAACTGCTCAGCTACTGATCAGCCTGGATTTCATGTCAGTGATGCTTATCATTTCACACAGCAGATTATTCGACCCAGCTCCCCTGCATTTGCCCATCACCAATCAGCAGCAAAGATTAAAAAAACCAAACCCAATGGTCTATTAGCTGTTAGACACCTCGTGGGGAGCCCAAACAAGCCACCTGAAAGGAAGCAAACGAATCACAAGACCCTCTTGTTTAATGGTGATTATTGCAGATTTTAGAAAGCAGCTGGAGGTTTGATTTCTTGGACTAAGGTACCTTACGTGAAGTGGCTGGGACTGACGGAGGGGGCTCTACGCCAGCAAGGCTCTCATCCAGCACTACAAGCTCTCGGGGTGGGGTCTCTGGTACTATCTGGGCAGAGAAGGGGACAGTGCTTCCCTCAGAGCTGTATGTGCTTTCAGGGACAGATTTTGGACTCATTTCACTGATGGTGTTTTCCAGCTGCTTTATAGTCTGCTCAAGGCTGTCTAGTGTTCGGTATGTACTCTGTCGAATTTCATCAGTCCTAGACAAGGACGCTGCAGCTCCAGGGGGTCCCTCTTGCTTCCCAGAAGGACTTTTGTCACTGTCCTCGGGCTGAGACCTGGTGATTTCAAATCTCTTTGCTTCCTTGTGCTGCTTCAGGGTCCCATCTTCCTCCTCTTCTTCATAGACCACAACCTGCAAGGTCTTCTTCCCAGTCTTCGTTCCTGTCCGTATTGCCTGTGTCAGAGCAGCCAGCTGCTTTTTAGGGAATTTGAACTTAAATTTTTTTTTCGAATCCTGCCTGCTTCCAAACTGATCAGCAGAGTCTGCGTTTGCTTCTGTGTTTAGCCCATAGATCTGGCGGAATTTGTTAAAATTTGTCTTTGTGCTTTCCTCCTCTGCAGGAGGTCTGGTTTCTACAGGGTCGGAGGAAGACTGAAGGTCCAATATGTACTGCTCCTTGAGACTGTGAGCCGCTGAATACTCTGTGATCGCTTTTCTGTCATTAACTACTGGTGGCTCTTCCCTCTGGCTCTCGGAGATCTCCTGTGCTTCGTTTTCTTCCTCTTCTTCTTCCTCTTCTATCTTTTCCTCTGTCATCATTTTCTCCAACTCCTCATCACATTCCTCAAAAATGGTAGAAAGCCGCTTATACGCTGACCTAATATCCATCGGTTCATCAAAAATGATGATGACGGGTTTTTTGTCCAGACACACCACTGGCTCTTCGCTGTCTGTGTTTTCTGGGATACCCTTCTCCAATGCCACGTCCTTCCTTGCATCAATGTTCACTGTTTGCACATCTCCACCTTTCCGGCTGACTATATCATGAACTTCCCCACTTGAGAGGACCTGAACAGCTGTTTTAGTAATCATGAAGGCAATGTTTTCTGTGGGTGGGTTGTCTTCATTTGGAGAGCTAGCCAGAGAGTCTGTCTCTTCAATGCTGTTCACGCTGTTAGTTCTGGACACTTTGGGTCTTAGCACAACCTGATTGTAGTTGACGGCAGAAGCTTCTTGCTCCTGTGAGGAAGGTTGAGGCCCCGTAGCCTCCTGTGTGTGCCTCATGAGAGGGGCAACGCTGCTGATGGGGATATGCTTGCCCATGGCCTGCAAGGCTTCACCCTGCGGCAGGCCCTGGCGAGCATCTCGTGGGAGTCCATAGTTTGGCTTTTGTTTTCCAGTTTCAACAGCTGGAAAATGAGATCCTAAAATATCTTGAGCCCCAATTCGTTTGTCATCCTCTGGCAAACTGACACCAGACAGGTTTGTGCTCATATTCTGGAGATTTTTCTTAGAATAGTCTCTACTGTCTACAAACAAACCCTTGCTAAATGTAGGACTGTCATTCATTGAAAAGCCAATTTTACTGTCAGCTGTGCTGGATGAATCAGAACCCAATTCTTCTTCAGTTTTCCCTTCCCTCTTCTCTTTAGGATGGTCACTATCTGTGGGAGATCCTGTTGTAGCCCCATACACCTAAGGGGGAAAGTTGGATTACTTAGTTATTCAGGGCTGTTACCTTTACAGGACTTTTTTTTTTCTTTTTTTTTCTTTTTTTTTTCCCCCAAATAAATCATCATATTCTCAGGGGAACTGGAGACCTTGTGAACTCACCACTGTTTACTGCTGCAGAGGCATGTCTGACGTTGTCATCTGATTCCTGTCTGTCTTTGGGGCAAAATTCCAAATTCTGGCAGAACAGCACATGACATTACTGCTCTGTGCTATGCATGCGGTTGTTACCTAGGGCTCCTGTCTTAACAAGGCCTCCAGAATATGCAAAAGCACACTAATTACCTTCTTTCCAATGTAGAAAAAGATTCACAGTATCTGATTAAGTTCTGCTGGAACACATCAAAGGGAGCCTGATGTGGAAGGGCTGACAGCAGGGCGCTGCGGCTTCCTAGCTCACTGGAGAGCCAAATGCCAGAGTCTGGCTAGCCTTGAAAGGAAGTTTTGTACCCGTAAAAGCTGATTTTCAAATTACAACATTTTGCTGCTTCTAATGTTGCTCGCACCTCAGCAGTGCTGTTCCGTCACAGTTAATATGATCACAGTCTAAGCATTTCTAAATCCTTGCTGCAGCTTAAAAGTATTCCTTCAAAATTACTAGGGGCACCCTGCAATGTCCATGGAAGTACAGAATAAAACACTGAGCTACATTCATTTATAGAAGCAACTCCAAACAGCACACAGAGAGGTCATCCACTAGCTCAAAAGTAGTAATATTCCCAGCACTGCAAATTTAAGGGGGCTTTTTTCTTTTATTTTCACATGAGGTGCCCTGGAGATGCTGTTTCATAATACAAGGCTTTTCTTTGGGGCTTGGTTTGGTAAGTGCTGGTGAGAGCTTAGGATAAAGACCTGAAGAGACACCATGCCTACGAACGAGCAAGAGAGAAAACTACACTCAAAAGATGGCTTGCCAAGAAGGAAATGAATCTGGCCTCAAGTACCTGAAGGCAGTGAGCCAAAGGTGTTACTGCTGACATTGCTTGAGACTAGAAGCTGACTCCTAACACATCAGGACAGATTATACTTATATGAGCATCAAGACGTGCAGAAGATCAGTCAGGAGAGTTGCTCTCCCACCTCAGATGAGTGACGGTACAGAAATCCACAGGTTGGCTAGTGCATGTAGTCCCCATGCACGCGGAGGTTCACAAGGTATAGTTTCTATGTCCCATGTGATATTTTCTTATATACTGTCTGAGGATTTTACACAGAAAAACTTTACACACAATCAAAACACAGGAGCGAGAAAGCGGTAAGACCAGAGTCACAGTTCATCTCTACAAAGGCTTACTAGCAGTAACAAAGCTGTGCAGCTGTTCCACGGATACTTTGACATCCCTCATATTTCTAAGTAAGGAGGAGCTATGATGCAAACCAGCCACAGCCAGTGAGGCATCAGTGGGCAGGCTGACACCGTCTGTGCTTTGTGCTGAGAGCTGGTATCAGAATAGAACCCCAGGGCTTGTGATCACCTCAGGCCCAGACTTGCTAAGTGGTAAGTGCCTTCTGGTCCTGCTACACACCAGAGCTCCCAGAATTAGGCCAGGCCATTTAAGGGCGCTTGTTGCCTGTGGATCTGCTGACTCAGTGACTGTGTTCCTATTTCTCCCTCTCTTTTTTAGCAAGTTCCACTGCTTCTTCCAAGCATCGGTGCAACATCTTGTGGTGTCATTATACAATACATCTCATTTTAGGAACTGCTGCCTTCCTACTAAAAAATTAAACCACAACAAAATTAATTTCCTTTATGAATTTCTCATGACCATAAGGGTCCATATTTAAAGCCAATAAACACAATCCTAAATCTCATTAACCTTAATGTCCTGAACTCTGTGTTATTCCAATAAATAGCAGCTTATGGCAATTATTCGGCAGCACTTTTCAAAGAAAAATTTGTGCTACAGGATGTGCAGTTTCTTGAGTGGTGACCCAGGTTTTCGTGTAACAATACAATGATCTCATTCTGACACCAGTAGTAATGAGGACAAATAGCGATACATTCACTTTTTTTTTCCTCCGTAACACTGTCATGCACTCCACAACAAAGCATTATTTTTTTTCCCTTTTGCTCATACCCATGAAATTGTACCCTCACCCAGCCAGGTGGTTGCAGCTTTACACTAGAACTGCTCTTTGGGCAGCAGAAAGCCAAGTCCTTATGTACGATGCCCTGACCTGGCAGCAGTACCTTCTGGGGGACGTATGGATTCTGATGCTAGTAATATATCAGACACCACCATCTAGGTGTCACCTTATGCTTTACAGCTGCAGTGTCCTATGCAGATGCAGCTCACTATGGTTAGGGCAGTTGGGTTCTCCTCTGCCTTGGCAACCTGGCAAAGTCATTTTCTCTCTCCCTGCCTCAGTTTCTGTTAAATTAAGTTGAAGTGCGATGTCTCCCATAAAATCCTTGGGGAGCCGTTCATGATGCTACATGAGAAAAGGTATTACTGCTATTTCTAATTTGCATACACACACAATGCATGAAAAAGTTGAAATGGTGCACTCAAGAGCTGTGTTTTCTTCCCCATGATATCTCCCTTCATTGCAAACTGGCATTTGGCTGACAAGTTGTTGTGCCTGCATGACTCCCTAAACCCAGCAATGATTCAATTCCTTACTCTTAAAAAAGAGGTCTGCAAAGGCAAAAGTATTTGTCCTTTTAGTCATCCTACACATTGGTTGCCCACTAAAAGCACTCAACTCAGTTGGCAACCTCAGTCCAGACACAGCTGTGAAATTCACCCCAATTTGGCTGTGGCCCCAGACACAGGGCACCTCCTCCGAGTCCCATGACTGAAGAGTGAATCTTGAGCATTAACTTTCAGAGTCAGGGCAAACTCAGCCCATCCACCTTGACTCTATCTTCCAGTAAACTGAATGGGATTTCTGAATATCTAATGACTATTTCTGGGACCAACAAATGAACCAAAATAAAGCAGAAATTCTCTAAAGCGGCTCTTGAGACTTAGAGGAACCACTAATTCTCATGACAAGAACAAGGCTTAGGAGAGATGCTTCACCATCCATTGCCAGAACAGCATTGGAAGGGTGTTCTGAGGAGTATGAGCATCTCTTTGGTGGAAACTGATGGATCCTCTTTTAATTTTGATTTCACAGAATCATAAAACTTTATGCAACCCTTGTATAATTCCTCATGAGACGCATAATGCAGATTGATATAATGTTCCATATGAGCATTTCTGAGTCATGCTAAGATAAAAGGAAGGAAACCACTGGGCAGTGGTGGGAGCAGGTTAGACAGAACAAGGTTCAAGATATAAGATTAGTTTTGAAGGAAAGAAGGTTATGCCAAGACTGGGTGGCATGTTTACAAATGCTACTTGTTACCTTCTTTTCCTTGTGATGCATTAAAGTCCCAGGCCTTATGTCTTTAACATGTGTATCATTTCTGGACTGTTCAGCATGACTGTTTGAGTTTACATCCATAAAAGAGCACTTCTGGAAAGCCTAGGAAATAAATACTGCAGGTTATCAGGAGACCAAGAGCTTTTACACAGAAATGTCTGGAGGTGACCAACCACAAAGAGAACATTTGTTTTGAACATTCACAGCTCGATAATATTATCTACTAGCTCATGAGATAATAGAGTTTTTTGGGGTTTTTTGGGGTTTTTTTTTTAGACTATCAGACTAAGAGAAATAGGGCATCCCCTCCAGTCTGCCAAGACTGCACTCTAACTCATCATGCTGACCTCAACGTTCCCTGCAGGGAGATGAACTTGATTTCTATTTTTACTGATGGGAAGACAAAGGCACACAGAGGTGCTGCAATCTATCCAAACTTCAGTAGTAAGCCCATGACAAACTTCGGGCTTGTGACAGTACCTACTTCCTAGTGACTGATAATCATGCAAGAGCTACGTAACTCCACTTGTCACCACACAAACTGTTACTATAATTTTAGACTTGGAGATGTGTCTTTGCCACAGGCCTCACTTATGCTCCAGATGATGACAGTTCCAACATATGGGCTTCGGGACTACTGGCCTCCCACCACATGTACCCCAGGGCATGGCCTGGACTTTTCAGCCATTTCCTTTTTCTTGCCATTTCCTTTGGGTTTCTCTGTCCAAATGGGTCCCAGATCTGGAGGAGCAGAACTATCACTGCCACCACTGCGCCGTGCTGGCTGCCAAGTGTGCATCACTGGGATCTCTGCAGGCTTCTAATGGTACGGTCTGCCTTCAGTGAGATGTACAGGCAGGACATCTCTGCCAGCCAGAGGAATGAGGGAGGCGTGCTTACAGAACTCACACTGGGACACGTGAGACGATTATATTCTTATGCCATATATTAGGGAAATTATTTAATTCCTGGCACCTATCATGAAATTAACAGCCCTGATTACAGATTAGAATCAGGCCTGTTCTTTAAATATTGTACTCATAGGTGTTGCATGTTGATGCAAAAATCAGAAAAGTAACAATAATGAAAAAATCCAGTGCAAAAATCAGGGTGTAGAGTTTCTTTTGGTTTTCTGTTGCATCTTATTTGTGTGGATCTATAGACCAGACTACCTAAGATGACATGGAACTATTAGAAAAAGTAGTCTTGCTCCTCATAATACACGGTATGGACTTTCCCCAGCTTACCCACTTGTGAGACCAGTGATGTGTTTTTGAGTTACGCATACCAGCCACAAAGGCATCTTCAAAGTCCTTCAGACTTTAAGTGACAAAGAATCAACTATTATTTCCCTTAGTAATTTGTTTATTTATCACCTTTGCTCCCAAATAGCTATAACAGCATCCAAATACAGTCTGTGCTGCAGCAGCTGATTATTATTACGTCTTTTTCTGCTAGACTATAAAAAGGTACTTCCCATGAAAGTACCTCCACGTTGTACTGGTCTCTTTTGAACCTTCATACTCTTAACAGCCTTTTCAAATGCGGGACACATGGATACTTAATCGTGGATGCAGCAGCACAGTGCTGATCTCACTGATCTTGTACACAGAGATAGAAACATCTACACCCAAAGCAGACACTAACTTTGTGGCAACAGCACTGATCTGGGAGCTCCTGTCAACTTGTTACTGCAACTCCTGTTTCTTTCGAAGACATGTAGTTGTGGTCTGCTCTATATTTTGTTGTTCTTCATGTGGACTTTATATTGCAGTGAATTTATTATGACCATTAAGTGATTGCTGTCATCTCCCTGCTCTCATACTTTACTAATTTGAATTTAGCTGATTTAAACAGTAAGGATTTTAAACGTATTTCCAGACTGTTGATGAAAATACAGAGTGACACTGGGCCGTAGCTGATCCCTATGGGATCTGACTATAAACACCTGCATCAAGAGCAGCACTTTTTAGACCCACACAGCTCTCAATCATCCTATGATAGGGGGTTGTCTACTCTATGGTGCCAGATTTTTATCAGAATGTTGTATGATGTTTGATCAAATGATTTACAAAAATGTTTATAGGTATACAATTCAGTTTAAGCAAACCTGTTACCTGATCAAAGAGTGTTGTTTGCTTTGACAGATCTGTGTTCCATTACATCGTGTTTACTAGCACAACTGTTTATGTCTGTACTCTAGTTCTTCACTGATTGAATCCCATACCTGATTTTCCATTATTCTGCCTGTGACTCATATCAGACTAACGAGCCTGTAGCTCCTGGATCAAGCGGTTTGCCCTTTCTAAAACATGGTATTCTGACAACCCTCTAAAATATACCTGTTATTTTAGTATTTGTTTAAAATGAGCATTGCTTGTCCCCCAAACTAGCATTTAAACACTCATTCCCTGTTCAGCTACCATGCCTATTTTTCCTCCTTAGCTCCCCTCAGCCCCCCTTTCCAGCCTTAACCTCCATTTCATTGTCACCAGTTGCAAGGCAGCCAGGTTGCTTTCCTGGAGAGAGGAGACAATGTGACGGTTTCACTGTCCCCAGCTCTCCTGTCGCACTAGCTATTAGCATGCACACAGGGCACAAGGGTAAACTGCTGCAGGTAAACCTGCAAACCAGCTGTCTGAAGCGCTGGTGGGTGAGAGTTGAGCAGGGTGCACCCATCACAGTTGCTGCTTAACATCCACATCTCCTGTGCTGCAAAGACTCCCTGGGCAGCATCAAACCCACCTTTCAGCAGGTGGACAGCAGGGTCATCTCATGTTGTGACGAATGCTCTGAAACACCCCAACATCAGAAGTTACAGCCAGTTAAACTGATCCACATCTCCTGTCCTCATATGGGCATGAAGAGGACAGAGGGTGCCCCTGGGAAGCTGGAGCTTGCTGATGGTAGCTGGAATAGTTGGCTTTTTCTGCAGCTTTGCTGTCACCGAACTAAACCACCCCATGTGCTATCAAGCGAAGGACCAGCAAGAGAACACTACTCCTGTGCCACTGGCAGAGTAATGTACTAATTACACAACTGGGAACAGCAGATGTTTCAATGTGCAAATGCTCTGGGAAACACTGGACTGTGGCACAGACCCAAGTGAGCACAGCCCACCAAGAGCAGACCCTGTATTCTCTGTTTCCACCAACGTTAACACAAATGACAGGCTCTCAGCACCTTGCTGCCCGGCTACTAAGTCAGAAATGCCAGGCCAGGGACAACTGCACCAAATACACACCAATATTTTACTTGTCCCATCTACATGTGTAAGATTCTCCAGTGGTAACCACTGCATTCTTGACCACTCTCTCAGCTCCAGACATCTTGAACAAAATTTGGGTGGTGCTTATGAAACGTGTACCACCCAGTGCAACAGAGTGGGATCGGGTGAGACTGGCAGACCTACTTTCTTTCGCTTTCTGAGCTAGAAGTTGTGCCGAGGTCCTAGAAGTGAGATTGGGCACAGGTCTCTTCATATGCAACTCAAAGGGCATACCTGTAATTCTGCCATTATTTTATCTCCTTCCTCTTCCTCTTCATCTTTTGCAGCTGATGCTACAGCATGCCCTGTGCTCCGAGACAATGCCTGATCCTCTTTAGGGGCTTTAGATTGTGCTATTTGCCCGGCATCTTCACTGCATTCCTATAAGGGGATAAGAAAACACAGACAATATAGTAGAGCCCTGCTGATGCAAAGCAAATACAGAAAATTCAACACTACAGCAATTCCCCTGCTGCAAGGTCCCTCTCTTCCTTTTTGAGGAGACTGCTACTTCATCAGCTCAAAAGCAACCAACAATTGTCGATGTTGTAGCATGTGCATAGAATAAAAAGCTTCCTAACTTGGACCTCTCTCTACTTCCTTCAGGGAACAGAACAGATGGGGAAAGGAAGCCCAAAGAAACTAATTTGCAACATTTCTGTAAAAACCCCCTCAAATCTGAGCTGATCTTCCCCATCTGTGTAAGGCATGCTTTTTTTTTAGTTTTAATCCTCTTACCACTCTAAATGAAAGCAGCCTGTGACTCGTCTTCATTGCTAGGAGGTAAGAGCAGCAAGACTCCTGTAAACAGAACTGATCAAACCTTACTTGTTCATTTGGCCTAACAGTAGCATTTCCTGGCAAGCAGTTTCAGTAGCTGTCCAGGCTGTAGCTCTGTCTCAACTTACTTTGTGGTTTATAGACACAGACCAAGCCTGGGAATATTTCTCTGTGCCAGCGATTCATCAACAGACTGATTGCCTAAAGTCCGAATCATCAAACCTTGACAGCAGCAGCGTCTTTTCTAGCTGCGTAGATGACCTCTCCTGATCTTGTTGTGGTTAGTCCTGACCCTGGCAGGTAACTGCGCCGTGGAGGTGGAGGAGGTGGAGACTTGGTCAGCTTGTCATTATCCTGTTCTCCATCAGGAACTTCTTCTGCAAGTAAACACAGCAGCACAAAGTAAGCATAGGTGCAGGAGAGGAAAAAAAAATTTGCATCCCTGCCTCAATTGGAAAGGAAAAAAAAAATGTCTTAAAAGGATCTGCTGCTGAATATATACGATTAGAAACACATTTGGGATTTAAGTGAAAACACCTTGAACAAAAGCAGACAGTGCTGCACTTGCACAGGAAAACCATATGACTTTACTCAGAAATTTTCAGCAAAACTCGTCCCCCACATCACTGTGGCTGGGTTTCAGCCCTTGGTGTAAAAGTGTGACAGCACAGCACACTTTTTCAAATCAGTCACTCATAAAGAAGCATGTAAGGTGCAGGTTCAGCTGGGTACCTGGTTACAGACAGTGCAAGACACCAAACCTAGAGGCTTCTTGCTGTTCTCAGTAATTCTGAAGAAACCAGCACACATTTCTGCTCTGCCTGGGAGGTCCTGCCAGCAAGGTGCCAGGAGAGGAGCTGAACATTTTGTCCATCTTATAGTTGTTTTCACTTTACTTATTACTAACTATTCCAGGAATGCACAGGTTTGCCTTTTTGAATTATCATATAAGAGCCCTATATGTATATTTTGCTAATCCATGAAGATTCAAATACCAAATCCAATAGCCGAGCAGAGCCAGCCCTTGCTTTCTGAGAAGAGTCTTCCAGTTTCTCAAAGACCAGTTTCTCAAACTGGTATTTCCCCACCATGATGCTTCCCCACCCAGCTGCCACTGCCTCTTCTGCACTGTCACTGGATGACATTTTTCCAGAAGCAGCGTTACATTGCTGGTGACCTGTCCCTGTGCGTTTCTGGTCACAGGCTGACGATCATACATGGCAACAGCCACCACTTTCACACTGCTGTTGACAACGTTTGTTTTCAATAGTGAGAGAACAACCTTTCTGCAGCTACTCAGTGTTATATAAACAGCTGGAATAAATATAACCCAGAGAGATAAAATCTCCTGCTTTTGGGATTACCCAGCTGTTTAGGGCTAAGTATTCCCTCTGGGCAAGTTGTTGCATAACTACCCTCTCCTGAGGCTGTGTCAGGCTCCTCGGACACGCCAGCTGGCCCCTGGGGCTGGATGGAGCCCTTGTCTGACCCAGCCTCATCTTTGTTCCCTTCTTAGCTCGAAATGTTCTTTGAAACTGCTTAAGCTTAAAGAAATGCTCTGTTGTATTATCTCCCTCCCTGGTTATCTGGTACTCACTCGCAGGATTGCAACAAGAGTGAATTTACAGATGCACTTTACATTAGACTGCTTCTATGGTCAATACACACCACTAAGTTTTTTGTGACATCAGATGTACTGCTGCTGTAAAATCAGAGTAATTCTCTAAGATGGTGCTTAGCAGACTATGATGTGGGGCCTGAGTAAATCCCTACTCCTTTTAATGGATTCAACCCATTACCCTCAAACTGGTAATGGCTTTGCAAGAACACCAAAGTTTTTCTCACACTTAAGAAGAGCAAGGCTGGATGAGAGACATGGAGGATAGAATGATTCCTACCATGTCTTTCACATCGGTGAGACATTCATCCATCTCCATCTTCAAAATGGGCAACAAAAAGGGGGAACACAGGCAAGAGAAATTGTCAGTGAGTGTGGCAGTTGCCCAGGCTATCAAACGGTGTTTCCCTCACAGCCCTTAACTGGAGTCATTAAGGAGAAGTTGTGATGGGGTTTGCTCACAGTCAATGCAACAAAACCAGGCAAGATGTAAAACTTCAAAGCTGGATTTCTATTTTCTTTACTAAACAATTTTATTTCCCTAATCTAAATGGGACAGAAAAAAAACTTTGGAGGAAAAAAAAATTAAGGAAAAGACTTCATTCTAATACTTTCTTTTTTCTTATGGCTGAGTTCTTCTAGCATCTTTACAGAGGAAGGAGTAAATGGACAAGTACAATTCACTCGGAGACTAACCATGATCAAAAATACTACTTCATGGAACCTTCTTTGGTGCCAAAGGGCTCAGCACTTCTGTGAACAAAATGGGAGTTGTTCATAGCCAGCCATTTCACTGAACTGAAGCATTCTTCAACAGGCACAACCAGACTGGAATTAATTTTCCCCACCACACAAATTTCTACTTGCACCCAAAAAAATCCAACATGTCTTAAAACTATCTCAAAATAATAATGCCTGCCCTGAGGCAGCCTTTGTAGTCAAATAAGCAAACTGTCTTTGATGGAAGCTACTGTTCACTCAGCACTTGCAAAAATCAGAGCATTCTCGCATATGAAGGCCCAAAGAGAGATGAAGGAGCCCAATTTATAATGTACATGCTAGAGACATTCCCCATATTTTTCACCAAACAATCTTGATAACAAAGATGAGTTAGAGTCAAGGCATTAAAGAAGTATTTACAGAGTCATCAGCAAAATTGTATAAAGTGTGTAATTTAACTTTGTTTTGTGCTTTGCAGGGGAAAAATGTTTCTTAATTGGGTTCTGGGTGGAGAATGGCTGAGACAACATATTCTGGCAATATGTGATCTATCTGTGTTCTGCAGTGAAGCCAACAGAGCTCTCTGCTAATTTATGGCCAAAATGTCTTATGCACTATATTAGGAGGTTGGTGGTCTCTCTTATGTTGCTCAGTTTTCCAGTCTACAGTAGACTGATACTGACATTTTCATCTTGAATCGTAGAAGAGTTGGGTAGCATGTGAGATATTTAATCAGATATTAAGGAAAAGTTTTGCTGTTTCCTTATTTATGTTACTATTACAGGATTCATTATGCACAACAGAAGGCAAATGTCTCAATCTCATCAAATTTCTCCTTAAATCCACTGGCTACACACTGTGCAAAACTGTATTCTAGAAGTGGATTAGTTAACTATGTGAGTTACAAAACTTCTCTGTTATTGTATTCTGCACTTTTTTAAGATGTCGCAGCTCACTGCACCCATATGGTATTTATTTTCACTGACATTTGCTATTTATGCCACACATTATACAAGATAATTGTGTTGTTAGCCAGTAACCTCACTGAATGGTGCCAGACTTCTAAAATTATTTTATGAGGTTCAACAGAATTTATTTTAATCCTGCATATTGTGAATCCAAGCAGCCACAACTTGCCAGTGTTAAAGGTGTGCCCAGAAAAAATTCTGGATCTGAAAACACTCTTCCCAAATTCTACATGAATTTGTGTACACAAGCCCCAGGGCATCATTTTGCAGCTGTTTACAACCTTGGCATGCCAACACCTTGAGTGCAGCATGCAGTTCCAGAAGGACACAGTGGCGTTAAAGATGGGCAACTGAAACAAGCTCAGGGAGAGAGCGGCTGGCCTAGATGGAAGGACCAGCAAGGCTGCAAGTTTGTAGTTTGGAGCCCATGGGGCAGGCTGACACCTCCAGGATATGATCAAGATTTATCCACTGCCTTCATGATTTTATAAAGGGAATGCAGAGCTTGAGGCCATTTCCTCTTGTCCTATGGCTTGTTACTTGGGAGAAGAGACCAACCCCCACCTGGCTACACCCTCCTTTCAGGGACTTGCAGAGAGCGATAAGGTCTCCCCTCAGCCTCCTTTTCTCCAGACTAAACAACCCTAATTCCCTCAGCTGCTCCTCATAAGACTTGTGCTGTAGACCCTTCACCAGCTTCGTTGCCCTTCTCTGGACATGCTCCAGCACCTCAATGTCCTTCTTGTAGTGAGGGGCCCAAAACTGAACACAGTACTTGAGGCACAGCCTCACCAGAGCCGAGTACAGGAGGACAATCCCTTCCCTACTCCTGCTGGCCACACCATTTCTGATACAAGCCTAGATACTGTTGGCCTTCTTGGCCATCTGGGCACACTGCTGGCACATACTCAGTCAGCTGTCAACCAACACCTCCAGGTCCTTTT